CTGTTCTGATATTCAAAAATCAATAACTGAGCAACTGAGTGAGTGAGTGAGTTTAGTTTTACACCACTTTTAGCAATATTCCAGCAATATCACGTCGGGGGGACACCAGAAATGGGCTTTATTCATTGTATCCAAGTGGGGAATCGAACCTGGGCCTTCAGCATGGTGAGTGAACACTTGAACCACTAGGCTACCCCACCACCCTTAAAAAAATACATAATGATCTACTGATATCTGATATCAACTGTTTACTGTAAAAACATCTGTCTGATTTGTAACTAATTACACATAAACATATTCTTTCTCAAAATATAATTTATGGAGGAAGATCTTTAAGAAATTAAATCATGTTAAGAACAGTTGTTTCACATACAGTATCTTATCAAAGCCGATCTTCCAAATCATATCCTTCATGAATTCCAAAGAAACAATGTAATGAAATTTTCTAGGAGTACTTTCTCATCTCACCATAACTTACAACTCTTAACTCAAAACTTATACAATTCAATGTCATCAAAAGATAAAAAATACTGTAGAAAACATCCCAAAAATATTTTGATTATTTATTTATTTTTTATTTCTAACTCCAAATGAAGTCTAAATATCAGACTTGTGTCAATGGAGGCTGGAACGCCTAATCACGTCAGCTGAGAGTGTCGCATTTTCCAGGAACATCCAGGAAGCAGGGATGTCAACAGATTTGGGCTGGTGTTCTGTCGAAAAGTCAGAAAATAAATACGAGATAATTACAATGAGAGGCGTCAAACTGCAGGCTATTTACCCGGTCTGTTGGCCACTGTTCCGATCCAATCGGACAAGTACGATGTTCGTATTTAAACTACGACATCATAACAGGGTGGCAAAACTCACAGCGGTCAATGTTGGTTGGACAAACATGTCAACAGTTCCGTTTAGCCAGTAGCTCAGGTTTTTCTCCTTCCAACCCTGATGTGCATTTTTGTCAGCCATGTTGTACCAACAATGGAGAATTTTTGGAGATTTTTGCCATAATGAAAACATGGGTATTTTTCTAGAGCAAACAACCTCTCCCTTTCAAGACCTGGTTCCGTCTGTCCTATCACTCAGACACAACCCACTCTGAACCAACAGGGTGGATTGTACAAGTCACAGCAGCTTGACAGATTTGGTAAACAGATGAATTACTTCAATTAAAAGAACTACTTTCATGTATGTTTATATATCCATACCAAAATGTTAGCTTGAGATATGTTGCTTGTGCAAAGGTCAACTTTGGAAGTTAAGACTTTCACAAAAATACAGCATGAAAGCATCAACGTCAGCTATGCTTATTCAGAGTCAACTGAATTTGAAGAGAGTATGAAGAGAAAGAGTGAGTGAGTGAGTGAGTGAGTGAGAGTGATACAGTTCTCAAACAATTTCCAATTTGGTGAGCCCCACAAGCATGGGTATGGTACTGAGAAACCTTCAACCACCATAATCAGGGCAAAGTGGGATTTGAACCCATGATCTCAGGTTTTAGAAGTGTCCAAAGGAGGCAACTCTGCACTTCAGACATCTGGGCAACTTGGGTTCCAGTGGACTGTTTGATGTGAGAGGTCAGAATGACATGAGTGTAATGATATTTCATTGTTTGAGCAACAAACATTCAGTATCTGAGCAGTGAGTGCATTTATGCTATCCTAATATTAAACACACATGATGATATGAGTGCACTGATGTCTTATCAGATGGAGTGACATGTTATATATAGCGACTGATGTGTAATATAGAGGATTGATGTCTTATAAAAGATTGATGAGTTATATACATAGATTGACATGTTATATATAGCGACTGATGTGCAATATAAAGGATTGATGTCTTATAAAAGATTGATGAGTTATATACATAGATTGACATGTTATATATAGCGACTGATGTGCAATATAAAGGATTGATGTCTTATAAAAGATTGATGAGTTATATACATAGATTGACATGTTATATGTAGCGACTGATGTGCAATATAAAGGATTGATGTCTTATAAAAGATTGATGAGTTATATACATAGATTGACATGTTATATATAGCGACTGATGTGCAATATAAAGGATTGATGTCTTATAAAAGATTGATGAGTTATATACATAGAATGACATGTTAGACACATAGACCTGTATGATATACACATAGACCAATGCAATATACACATAGACCTGTATGATATACACATAGCCCTGTATGATATACACATAGACCTGTATGATATACACATAGACCAATATGATATACACATAGACCTGTATGATATACACATAGACCTGTATGATATACACATAGCCCTGTATGATATACACATAGCCCTGTATGATATACACATAGACCTGTATGATATACACATAGACCTGTATGATATACACATAGACCTGTATGATATACACATAGACCAATGCAATATACACAAGTCCTTAGGGTCAATGGTTAAGTCAAGTTGACCACCTCACAAAACTGCCATGATTAACCTTCCGTCCAAATACATTACGCCTTACAATAATGAAGCACAAACACAAACAAACTTAACTCCTTCACAGAAGATTCAAGTAAACAGAGCCTGAAGATTAAAACTTGAAACAAAGGCGCCATTTGTTAGCCAATCAGAATTGATTTTGCCACAATCTGTGCAGCTGTATTTGAAGAGGTCAAAGGTGACATGAATGCTTAAGCAGGGGTACTCTTTGACAAATTCCTAGACAAACAGTCCCCACACCGTTCACACACCCTCGGTTGTGTGCAAACTGTCATGTCAGTGGAAGTCACTCAGATGAATAGCTGAGGCAAAAAATTCTCGGAACCATTACTTTCTTTGAAATCAAAATCTCCTGCTTTCTTACAAAATATGATTTCCTAATTTCCATGTTTTAAGTGTTTTTTCAAAGGATTTAACAATAAAAACTCCAGCTTAACATTTACATTTTAACTAAAGCTCTCCTAGTATGCTGAATTTACATAAGTGTGGCTCCTTAAGCTTCTCACCAAATAATTTGTATTTTAACTCACAGAGCAAGAAACAATAGTAAACAGTTCTTGTGTATGTCAAAGTTATAAATATACATTTTTTTTGGGTCTGAAAGCATTAATTATCATAGAGAATTTATCTTGAGGAATAAAATCTCTTTGTTCCTCCCAGGGGCAACATTTGATAATAATGAAGTGATGAAAGTCTCAACATCAGAAAAATGATGAAATTGAGGACTTTAAATGACTACCCAAAATATTTTATAATATTTATATAACTTTCTCTGATCATCAAGAATAAATAATTCAATTTCTCCTGTACAATCGGACACTTTCAGCAATGTCTTCTCTCCCATCCCCCCACATAACTTCAAGCAATATAATGTTGAAATTCTCATGTATTTCTCTGATGAATTCTCTAAATATTTCATACCACAAGGAAAAACCAGGAAGCTTTTACAAATTTTGTAAAATCCATTAGACTTCACCAAATGGATTCTCATAATCTGGAAAATATTTCTCTAACATACTCTGAATTTTTTAAATTTAAAAAGCTTTTGACCCTGTTGAAACCTTCTGTATCATAACCAGTGTAAATTTAATATGTTTTTAATCAAAGAAATCTGTTCAAGCCTACATCAGCATCAAATTTAGCAGTCAGAATCAAAACATGATTTATTATGTTATACCAAGCAACATAGATTAATTATTATTTGATGAGCAGCAATGAGTACAGAACTCTCTTTGACAAAAAATGATGACTTTCTAATCTGAAATATGGTTTATCTGTATAGCCACTGAGTGGTTTAACAGAACATTGTGATATGTGTTGTGTTCATTCCGACTGCAGTTTCCCATCAAAGAAAACGCTGCATCCACAGGGGGCATCTCAAGAATATTTAGGCAACATTGAAACTTCCCATTAGTTCACCGAACTTGCAAGGGATATTGGTCGACATTTATGTTTACACTTTTTCCTTGGTGTTCTAAGAACAACAAGATGGTGTGGGAAGAGGGATGCTAAATGTGGTTTAATGTCACATTCAAGATTATTGCTCTCTTGAAGGGGTGAGTGAGTGGGTGAGTGTGGTTTTACGACGTTTTTAGCAATATTCTAGCAATATCTTGGCGGGGGAATACAAGAAATGGGCTTCACATATTGTACCCATGTAGGGAATCCAACCCGGTCTTCAGCGTGACAAGCGAACACTTTAACCACTAGGCTACCCCACTGCCCATTGTTACAAATAAGCGTAAACAACACAAAACAAAACGCCCCAAAAGGTCCACACAAATATAGGTAAGATTAACATATTAAAAAATCAAATCATATTCAAATAAGTTTTCTTTCAGAACTACATGTGTTAAATCAACTCACAGAGCTCCATGAAAAACAGCAATCACGGCAAAAAGTTTACAAAAATTGCAAAAGTCTCACGCCCTTCAATTTTGCATTTTTCCATTTCGGTAAGTGTCTCCAGCATGTTAACACATTACGAATGTGCGGAATCCATCCAACACAGCATCCCTGGAGCATGTCCATGTACAGCAGAAAGTGTTGGGACGACCCCCGCATGACTCAACAGGTTATGAAGCCAGTACAACATACCTGGACGATGTGTCAAGGTAATAGACAATATTCACTACTATTTCAAACTCACGTTATTTTTACACAGTTTCTTTAATTTAATATAGCAACTTATGTTCTAAACCTGTGAGAGAAAACAAGCTGTTTGACAGTTATTGGGTAACAAATGAGAAACAAATATTTCTGAAACTGTTGGGTATTTTTTGGCTTGGCTTGAAAAATGTTTTATTTCGATGCCAATAGTAAATATACATCAGCACTATTTTCCAACAATTTCTTTAATTTAATATAGCAACTTGCATTCTGTCATGAGAGAAAAATGCTATTTGCCAGTTATTTGGTACCAAATGAGAAAACAACAGTTTTCATATATACTGAGGGAAACAAATAAGGGAACACATGAAAGCACAAGTGTTCCTTTATTCTTTTCTGTGGATGAGAATATGAGAATAAATAGGGGAACACTGCGATGAAGCGGTGTTCCCTTATTTGTTTCCCTCAGTATATGTTGTTTTTACAGCTTGGCTTGAAAAAGCTTATACATGTATTTGTGTGACAACAGCAAACATATAACGTCCAGGACAGAGAATAACCCTTCCGAATTATCAGTGGGAACAAATTAAAAGGTGACAGAGAAAAGAAAATTATTTGTGGATCACTGAAAATCAGTGGTGACACCAGGTGTTCTAGATATTCTCACTGAGCGTTTTGTGACAGTTTGGATTAATGCAGTTTTATCAATATTCCAGATATATCACTGAGATACCAAGAATGGACTGGTCACTTTGTACCCATGGAATCAAACTTGGAGCTAGGCCCTTGTGAGGAAACACTTTCACCACTCAGGCAACCTACCACTACAATAGCACAAGAGTGAGTGAGTATGGTTTTACGCCGCTTTTAACAATATTCCAGCAATACACCTGGGGGACACCAGAAATGGGCTTCACACATTGTACCCATGTGGGGAATCGCAATAGCACAAGAACCTTAATCAGGATGTAATGACAGTACTTCCACATCTAAATAACACTATCCTGAGGCAAGATCGCTAAGTCACTATAAAGTTCAGCTCGAAGCACCACCTGTGGTTATTAAGAGTTTGGACCTTTCTATGTCCCTCATACTGTCCAATCTTTTCCACATCTCCTATCTATTGCATTTGTTTACAAAACAAGGCAGCACCCAATCAGATTGATAACATCAATAACCAAGATCTATATCGTAATAAAACAGGCCTAACCTTGTGAAGTGCATCAAATCACTTGAGCATGTTAATCGAAAACATGAAAATGTTTGGAAATGTTGTCAATGCCCAGTTGGGTATACACATGCTCTGCAAATCCTGTAATCCACCGAAAAGTGCAAGGCACTGCCATGTTGTTTTTGTCACACAATGTTGGATTAAGAGGAATGTTTTAGCATACGGTGTTAGCATCTACACCAAAACATAGCATCTATTCCAATAAAGAAGTTGTCTATCCCTAAAATTGTTGTCCTCTTTATCATACCAGCTTCTAAAAGCTGCTCAAAGAAATGTTGGATTACACATTCCACACATTCAACTAGTCCATCAAAAATATTACTCAGAAATTCCAGCTAGTTTGGCAATGGCAGATAGTGAAAGATATAGTCAGTTAACTCCCTTGTCTCAAGAACAGACTTAATATCGGTTAGCGCGCCAAATGAATGAGTGAAATTTACCAAAGTAAGCATTTACACCAGCTTAACGTTTTGAAACTGTCACCAGAATCTAAAATTTCCAAATCTTCCAAAGGGCCAAATGATCATCTTCATTAGAATGGCCATTTCAGATATGATTGGAGGTGAGGTGAGGTGAAATTGGGTTTAACGTCGTACTTGAGAATATTTCGCTCATATGACGACGTGCATGCGTGTGTATGTGTATGTGCGGCTTCTTGTACTAGCCGAGACTGAAGCTGGTTTTATAGTGCTAGCCCACTGAGATACCATGCCGCAGTGAAGCATGAATACCCCACTCAGACACATTATACTGACTCCGAGCCGACCAGTCCTTGTTGTACCCATTAATGCCGAGCGCCAGGCAGGGATCAACAAGTACCATATTTTAACGTCTTTGGGTATGACGCGGTCGGGGATCGAACCCGCGACCTTCCGCTCTCCGGGCGGACGCTCTAACCACTACACCACGGAGGCGGTCAGATATGATTGGAAAGCCAGATGTGCCTTTTGATTGAATATAACAATTGACTTCTTTGAGTGGCATTTACAGAGCTGGAAGTCAGATAGAACAAGTATATATGGATGACAACTTCTTCTATTCTAGAGCATGACATTTCGATACAGGTTCTAGTATCGTTTTCAAGTATAGATGATATAATATAGCAAATGCAATACCCATCTTGATTTTTGATAGTCTTGACAGACAGTGACGACAGAAACATACAAAGAGTTCTTTGATTCTGGTTACAACATATTCATAATTTCACATGTACACCAAACTATGATATAGTGTACCACCCCCTCACGAAACGTGGTCCTTAATGTTTATTAATAGAACGTTTAATCCCTGTTACGTGCAACAAGCTTAACTACAAACGCAAGGTAATGACCGAATCTGAAATCCCTCCCAAACTATACCCATTTCAACCCAACATTATTTAAACTATGAACAATAAGTCAAATGATGGATCCAAAAAAAGATCACTGAAAAGATATAACATAGACTTTCATGTCTGTATTTGTTGGAGGTGAAAATAGACGAGACCTAGGTTATAACGACACAACATCGGCAGTCCGCTGTAACATTCCCACACACACAGCAGGAACCCCCCAGCCAAACAGCATAGCCATGTTCAGCTTTAACGGGCCTAATCCTATCAAAGCCACTCTGCTCATTTATCACCCAATATTGAAATCATATCTCTTACACCAACAAAAGGTTACCGTCACAGTAGTCGAAGGCTTATATCTACATTGTGTTGGGAAAATATGTTCATATTACTTTGTACAACAGATGATTCATTGTGTAATAATGGCTTCGTACTTACCCCGCCCCATGGGGATTCCGGGAGGGAACCGATCCAGGTGACTAATGATGGTCCCAATGTGGAGATTCCGGGTTGAAAATGTCTCAGAAAAACATTATTGTCTTCCTGAAGGGATTCCTCAGGGAAAAAGCTCCTTAGTGTGTGGGGATTGTCTTCCTGTGGGGATTGTCTTCCTGTGGGGATTGTCTTCCTGTGTTGCTTCCAGGGCTGAACAGGTCTCAGAGATCCCATGATTGACTTTGCATGTGGATTCTGGGGCAGAGTAGGTCTCAAGCATCCCATAATTGACTTAGCATGAGGATTCTGGGGAAGAATAGGCCTCTAGCATCCCATGATTGACTTTGCATGTGGATTCTGGGGCAGAGTAGGTCTCAAGCATCCCATGATTGACTTAGCATGAGGATTCTGGGGAAGAATAGGCCTCTAGCATCCCATGATTGACTTCGCATGAGGATTCTGGGGAAGAATAGGCCTCTAGCATCCCATGATTGACTTCGCATGTAGATTCTGGGGCAGAATAGGCCTCTAGCATCCCATGATTGACTTAGCATGAGGATTCTGGGGAAGAATAGGCCTCTAGCATCCCATGATTGACTTCGCATGTAGATTCTGGGGCAGAATAGGCCTCTAGCATCCACTAATTGACTTCCCAAGTTGATTCTGGGGCAGAATAGGCCTCAAGCATCCCATAATTGACTTCCCAAGTTGATTCTGGGGCAGAATAGGCCTCAAGCATCCCATAATTGACTTTGCATGTGGATTCTGGGGCAGAATAGGCCTCAAGCATCCCATAATTGACTTCCCATGAGGATATCAGCGTTGAATAGGCCTCAAGCAGTGTGCGAAATAGCCACTGGCCCACTAGCCCATCAGGCCTACCATACAAACGGTGAACAAATCATCAAAACTGAACTCATATACACCAAAACAGAACAAAAATCACCAAAACTGCAACAATATCATCTAAAACCGAAACAAAACATCTGTAATGGAAGACTAATCATTTGAAATGGAAACAAAACTCGCGTATCAGCTACAAGAGCTCGCGAGAACGGTCGTCGAACGTACAAAACAGCATTCATAGCATCCCAACACGGCAGTCATAGCATCCCGAAACGGCATACAGTTCGTCAAAGATGGCGGCGAGGGGAGACGAATAGGCTTTGGTACATAATGTTTTTCGTCACTATGAGTCTAATCTTGAAAATTTGATATCGGGATGTAGTGCATAAACCCCCTATTGTAGTAAGCTTCAAACCTATGTCCATACTTCTAAGTGTCAGGCTTGCAATTCTGCACAATGTGGTCCCTCGTACGACCGAATAGGATTTCTTGTCAACATGCCATGGTCCTGTTTCTCTTCAGTTTTGTAAATAAAGTATTCATAGCATCACATTCAACATTACTATATTTTAGTGATTTAAAAAGTTTACAAAAACTTCGTTCATTCTCAGTGAATTGCATATCTAAGTGATAATTTTTAAAGTGTACGAGTGCAAACTCAATCCACTGACTAGGGCAGGGATTTCTGTTTGAAGTCCACAGGAGGCGACTTCTTGAGACTTACAATAACAAAGACGGACACATTTTTGTACCTCAAGTTGAGCTTTATTTTTTGTTAAATGATGTAAAATGTTTGGGATTGCATGGAATAGTTTGAAGTACATGGAAAAGATAAAAAAAATTTTTTTTTTTTTATTCCAGCATAATGGGTACAAACACATGGGTATGAACAGGCATAGATGGAAAAGATAAAATTGCAGAATGATAAAATCTTCCTGACACACAATACACAGTTGAAATTATAAGCAAGTTCATGTTTCCTTCTCTGATGAGAACGCAATGTAACCCGATTTTTGAACTTCTCTTTATATGGCATACACTCAAACGTTGGAATTTTCGGAAGGTTCGGTATCACAGAGATATCTGAAAGAAATATATTCACTGAATGACTTCATAAAAGTAAGATGAAACTAGAAGATCTTCGTCTGAGAACCTTACCATACGTGCAGTGTGAAGCGGTGGCATACAAACATACAAACTAAGAAGAATGTCAGATGACGAGAGGACTGACACGTCTCTCTCAGGAATCTGTGAATACGAGTTTGAGAAATTAAAAAAAAGGCAATTTGGGTAGTCAAAGTAGAAATTATCACTTAGATATGCAATTCACTGAGAATGAACGAAGTTTTTGTAAACTTTTTAAATCACTAAAATATAGTAATGTTGAATGTGATGCTATGAATACTTTATTTACAAAACTTAAGAGAAACAGGACCACGGCATGTTGACAAGAAATCCTATTCGGTCGAACGAGGGACCACATTGTGCAGAATTGCAAGCCTGACACTTAGAAGTATGGACATAGGTTTGAAGCTTACTACAATAGGGGGTTTATGCACTACATCCAATAACAAATTTTCAAGATTAGACTCATAGTGACGAAAAACATTATGTACCAAAGCCTATTCGTCTCCCCTCGCCGCCATCTTTGACGATTTGTATGCCGTTTCGGGATGCTTTGACTGCCGTGTTGGGATGCTATGAATGCTGTTTTGTACGCTCGGCGACCGTTCTCGCACGCTCTTGTAGCTGTTACGTGAGTTTTGTTTCCATTTCAAACGATTAGTCTTCCACTACAGATGTATTGTTTCGGTTTTAGAGGATATTGTTGCAGGCTTGGTGATTTTTGTTCTGTTTTGGTGTATATGAGTTCAGTTTTGATGATTTGTTCACCGTTTGTATGGTAGGCCTGCCCATGGCTCGTAAAAACCAAGTCAGGCCAGTAAATCTCCACAGTCACTGGCCCAACTGACTTTTCATAGGGTTATTTTGTAAATATATAACTCTCTCCAACTTGTTAAGCAGGGGCGGATACAGCTTTTTGAGAAAGGGGAGGGTTGCACTCTCTTGGGAAGGTGGGGGTGCACACTTCATTTTCACGAGAGTTTCAATGGTCATTTAATAAACTTTAACGACAAAAAGAGGGGTGCACACCCCTGCACCCCCCTTCTGGTTCCACCTATGTTAAGCTATAATACACTTTTAAGTCATGCAATATTATGGCCTGATAAAAATGTTCCTCATATTTGCAGCTTAATGATGAAACCTGTATCATGCTGACAATATCTTATTTTTATCTATTTTTGTAATCTTTTGCTTAGTTCCTACATTCAAATTCGGGCTATTGAATTATTTTGTGGGCTAGTAACTTTCAGGCATAGTTAGACCAACTGGCTAGAAAAATTTGGAAACTATTTCGCACACTGCTCAAGCATACTATAATTGACTTCCCATTTGGATTCTGAGGCAGAATAGGTCCCTAGCATGAAATGATTGTCTTCCTATGTGGATTCCAATGCAGAAAAGATTGCACACATGATTGTCTTCTGGTTTGGACGCCAGGGCAGTAAAGGTCCCAGACATGCCATGATTGACTTCCAGTGCGAAATCGCTAGCAGAATAGATGATCAGATCTTGCGGATTGCCTTCCCGTATGGATTTCAGGCAGAATACCCAGTATCTCATGACTGTCTTCCAAAGTAGATTCAGAGCCAGAATAGGTCCCAGACATCCATGATTGACTTTTGGAATGGACAGGTCATAGTACCTCATGATTGTTTTCCCACATAAAGTTTAGGGCAGAATTGGTCCGTGGAATCCCATGAGTGACCTCTTGTGTCAAATCCAGGGCAAAATAACAGCCTTGCTGTGCTTCAGTTTATAGTAAGAAAGTCGTTTCATCTGATCACTAAAATCTTTTCTGCAAAAGATTCAACAATTCCACTGCAAAAAGTTCTGAATTGCAACAAATTATCACCATGTGAATTAACTTCCCAAAGTAGGGATCTTGAACTTTACATCTCAGCAACTTCTATACCTTTCTACATCAACCTGGATGACTTCAATTTTATTCCCATTTCTACATCAACCATGATGACTTTTTATTCCCATTTATATTTCCATTTCACTTATCTTGCTAATTTTCAAACTGCAGCGTCTCCACATTCAAACAGGGCTTGCGTAGCACTCCTCCATCTTTGAAATAAAAAAAAAGATAAATTTTCAAATTGGCTGTCTCTAGTAACCTCATACTTAAAGTTAATACACGGAGCAAATTTGACGTATCTCATAAGCTGACCCTGTCCTCTTGATGCAGAATCAGATCCCTGCCACTCGGAGATTCCTGGTATGAAGTGCTTATGTTACGGATTTGTAACATTTGTTTGAAGGAGATAATCTTTAATGTAGCATGTTTAACACCCGAGAGGTTGCTGGCGGAGGGCAAAATAAACAGACAGTTTTTCAAGCAAGACAAAGTATCCGTGCACGGCTTTAGTTGTTGTGACCCTGGTCACCACCTTGATGTAATGTATGTGGGAAACTGGGTGGGATTCAAACACGTTACCACAAATTATGAAACTTGACGTGATCCTGTATATAATTAGTGAGCCTGTTGACATGAAAGAACATGAAATATGGATCATGTGAAGTATCGTGAGTGTGTTCTTGTCGGAGTGTGACAGTGCACTCTGACATATTCCAGTTTGATGATGACAGCATGTTGATAGACAATACAGTGACTGAGATTTTGTGTCACTCGCCATATCAGGCTTCCTGTCATCAAGTCTGACCACACAATCCACTGTGTACGGATCACCCTGACGTGAATACACAATGCCATTTAGAAAGTGGTCAAATGTAAGACATGTTATATTTGGGATTATAGTCCGTTTGGCTCAAAATCGGACCAATGAATTGCAATTTAACTCAATAACTACTAAACATATAATAATCAATGAAACACTGATCATAATCAAAACATCAGCCCAACTCTGTGATTTCTTTGTAGAATTTGTGTCCAACAAATAAATAAGTTGTTTAACAAACTATCATTAAAATTTTGACAAAGTTTGCCATTTGTTACGAGGGAGGAGTGCAAAGAGAGGAATTCTAGTACTTTTGTTGGGTTGAGTCCCATCCGCACTGGCTGAGCAGGTTAGGCGGAGGCAATTAGGTGCCTGACTCTGAGGGTGTGGGTTCGGAATCCCAGACTGGAATCAACACAACAAGAGTACTAGAATCTGTACTTTACGAAGACAGTGTTATCCCAAATATAACATATGTTACACCATGACATGCTATCAACCAAGTGACCAAGTCTGACAATCTGGGGCTACTTTCACAAAGCACTAAGGTGACCGTAAGTCTCTAAGGTAACCTTAGTGCAATGTTAAAGAATGGGAGTTCAGGTTAAACTTAATAAAGGTTGCTTCGTGAAAGGAGCCCCTGATCTATTACGTCATCTGCTAAGACCAACACTTGTTGCTGGCAACCTATTCTAACCCAGAATCTCCACAAACACTGTCAGCACAATGATTAACGTACAATGAATGGTTAGTTTGTTGACAACGCCTCAATCAGCAATATTCCAGCAATATAGTGGTGGTCTGTAAATAATTGAGCCTGGACCAGACAATCCAGTGATCAACAGCATGAGCATCAATTTACACAACTGGGATATGATGACATGTGTCAACCAAGTCAGCGAGCCTGACCACCCAACCTCGTAAGTCACCTCTTACAACAAACATGAGTTGCTGAAGACCAATTCTAACCCGGATCTTCATGGGTTAATTCATAACTTATAAGTTGTTTACAAAACATACTTATCCGATAGACTGGCAGTATCAGCTAAGCTGCTTACACCCACTGGATGAATCTGATCCACCTGAGAACAGCCTGTACATACACTGATACTGTCAAGTAATATTTCAGGTGTTTTAAGAAGCCTCTGACGGCTAGAAACATTGCAAATACTCACTGCATATTGGTTTGTTGAGAGAACAAGTTCCAGCCTCTGTTAACAATTTACCATAGTCATTAACTTTCATGGCCTACAAGATTCATAAAAAGAACATTAAACTGTGTATGTTTCAGCAATAAATAATTTAGAAATGCAAATCAGATTCAAACAGCTCACAATGAATGGTAAAACAATTTTCTGTTATAGTTTACTGAGTGTGACTGGAAGTGACTGACAAAGATGTAAAACCAAATGTTCATCCCCCACCTCTTGTCCTGCCTGTGTTCAACTTGACCTGCCAAGTCCTCAGCTCATTGCTCTCACACAACCCAAAATACTGGTTAAATTAAATCTTAAACAAAAAAGATTACTTCATAAAATCTACGACAAACAAAGAAAATATATTTGTCATGATCTAAAAAAGACAAAACCAAAATACTTCTAAGAGTGAATGTCTGATGATTGGTAAACAAAACATTAGCAGTCTTGCAGGTATTTACAGAGAATATTCCCAGTGAGTAAATATGGCTTTTATGCCCCTTTTAACAATACACATGAACCATCATGGTGAATGACAACAGAAATGTGCTTCACCAATTGAGCACATGTGATGAATCAAACCCTAGGCTCTGGAACGACTGCCCCACACTTTCACCACAATGCTACCCCACCGCACCAAGTATTCTAAAAGACATTGATCAATAATTTTCTTCTTAATGATAAATTTCAAGTTAAAAAAATAAGCAATTTCCTAAAATTTACTACAGTATTTTAATCGGGTCAGTGAAGTAATCAAATTCCAAATCAAGTTGTCATATATTCTTTTGTCTGCCCATCACACAGCGGCTATGATATCACCACGGTCAAACCCTGATCAATTCCGTTCAAACTGACCTCTTTGTTTGGTAACCTGAATATGACAAGCTTTGACTGACATTCGTTGATTGCAAAGAAAAAGACAACTTCAAATAAGGTCAAAACCCAATCACGTGTGAAATTGTTTCAGTCAATAACCCTCTGAAGATGAAGAAGTAGAAAAAGGAAGCACACACAACGATGAATAGAACTTTTCCTTGTGGTCATTTTTAATCATTGGACACCAGTGGACGAAACAGTGATATTCTAATGTATCATAAAAATGTCAATACAGTAAATTGAATCAGAGCTTAATGGACAGGCTTTCGGAAAAGGATGATTTATGGGCTACATACAATTGACTGCACCTTTGTATGTAAACGGAACAAAGCAGTGTCAGCCATTATGCTAATCAGGATAATAGTATAACAATATGGCATATTCTGTAAACAGAATCCTAGTCTTTCTGACAGCTACAGACAACAGCAAACAACAGCTGCTGTTCTTGTCATAAAAAATGTATTTGCCCTTTGATTTTAGTGGCCGTTGCTGAAGTAGAGAGGAGTAACTGCAAAGATCCAAGCATGTTTTTACAAGTCAGACAAACTTACTTTTCACTGTACAGTTCAGATACCATATTACATCGGCATTACTTATTTACGTTAATAATTGTTTGAGTGAAGATGTTTTTGACATAGACCACTGTATCTCTTTAAGCAAACAGACTTAATTGCAACAGTGTCTTTATTATATTTATTTTTGGTAATGCCACACTCTTCTATATTTAAGCTAAATGACAAGAACCTGAAAATATTCCGATCTTGACACGGCAATCCAGTGATTGACATCATGAGCATCAGAACATGCATCATCAAAGCCAGGAAGCCAGACAATACCTCTTGTCAGTCACTTCTCACAATCATGAGATGCTGAAGACGAAACCAAACCCATGATCGTCACTGATGTATTGTAAGCCATTCTATTGAGGTCAAGGTCACAAAAGACACTTCATACTATCCATATCAAGTTGTCATATTTAACTTAAAGAATCTTGGACCAATTGGAAGATACTTAACAACCTCAACATCAATCCCACATGAACATGCATGAAGTTCACCTGGAAGTCATCTTTTAACGACCAATAACAACAAGTACTGCTTGTTGAGGACTATCAACTACAACAATGTCCTGTCAAAATACAGTTTAATAGATCTCTCACATCTGACTTTTTACTTGATTTGAAATGGGAATGAGAATGGTTAGGAGTAAATTCTTCATCAGGAATGTATGGCCTCTGAGAAAGTTGACAAAGCGGCACAAGTTTCTTCATAACTACTATTTTTATTATAAATATTGAAAATTGGATGGTCAGCTGGCACAAGACTTACCTAAAGACCTCTCTAATCCAACAATACTTTGCATAAACTGATTAACTGGCATTCCATAAGTTAGTAACTGAGTGTGTGAGTGAGTGTGGATGGTTTTTCGCTGCTTTTAGCAACATTCCAGCCAATATCACGGGGGGCGGGGGGCGGGGGACACCAGGAATGTGGTGAGTAAGCGTAAGGGTAAGATACATTTATGGATGGTATCTTTATTCTATTATGATGCGACATTTCTGTATAGATTGTTATACCGTATGAAGCAAGAGTGAAGTACAGAACAGTAGAGGAGTTCCAAACATTTGGTTGGTTGGTTGGTTGGTTGTTTAATGCCGCACTCAACAATATTCCAGTTATATAGCAGCAGTCTGTAACTAATCAAGTCTGGACCAGACAATCCAGTGATCAACAACATGAGCAACAATCTATGCAACTGGGATACGATGACATGTGTCAACCAAGTCAGCAAGCCTGACCACTCGATCAGCATTTCAACTAAAATATACAGTGAGTGGGACTGAAAAGTGTTTGCTACATGTGCCAGTTTGTCTGAAATATTCTCAGCATAAACATAGTTTGCTATACTTATTAATACCAAAGCTACAGATCATTTAAGAATACAGAAGTTGTCATCAATAAAAGTATTTTTCCATTAACACTTCTTCAACATGATATGATTATTTACAGTTGCCAACACACAGTGGAGGATAAAGACTTCAACACCATGTTCATGTGTAGCTAAATATACAAAGCCATCATAATTGTTTCTCAATGGCTTGGACTGACTGACTGACAGTTTGGTTTTACACCGCTTTTAGCAATATTCCAGCAACATCACGGCGGGGGACACCAGAAATGGGCTTCACACATTGTGCCCATGTGGGGATTCTAACCCGGGTCTTCGACGTGACGAGCCAACGCTTTAACCATTAGGCTACCCCACCGCCCCTCAATGGCTTGGAATTCATCCCAGATCTTCTCATTACATAAACTCCTAGCCTGAATCAAGCTACAGCCTGGTAGGATATGATTATTGATGTACCCTGGTCCACCATCTGTAAGACGGAGGGTTGTTCATTATTGGTATCACTGTGGACACACATAACATCACTCACCAGAGCTTACAGCTGAGAACACTGTAAATAGACAGACAAACTGACATGACAAATGCCACTGTTAATGTTTATCATAAAGATTCTGTACTAAAATCGTTCCTAGCACTGCCTGCATACTTTATGCTACACATTTGTACAGAACACACATCAGGATTTACAGCCCTGTATGAAACTAGTCCATACACGCAGTATGCCAAATCCACTTGTAAATGTTGCCATTTTCAGAACAATATGTTCAACAAGGCAGCAACCACAGCGGAATATTACCTCGTATAAACCGTCGAAACTAATGAGAATCATGCGGAGAAATTAATTTCTCTTGCTCTTTTATGTAACCCCACACGCTTGTGATGTAGCTGTATCCAATCAATAATCTCTACACATAATCCGCTCTTAATAAAGTGGCACACGCCGAAATAAAACACACTCTAAATAAACATGGCAAATACTATAGGAAACCTTAATATGTGAAAAGTCGGGTTGCAGAGGCGAGCTTTGACTGACTGGCTAATTAGAATAACAATAGCAGGAACTGCGGATGGGGGACAATATCGGCAGGAATAGTTGACTGTTGGGATTTATTCTTCATCAGATGATCAACTGAAAATCAACATGGTTTAACAAGTACCCGATTATATTTCCTAATTGTGAATGAATATTGATCTCCTGAAAAATTAACATCTACTAAAGAATAAATCAATCAATGCTTGCATAAAATTAATGGATAAACTACACATACCTTCTGTCATGATTTGAACCAATGATTAGCGGTACGTTGATAGCATCCAAAAATATACATTTGACTGAGTTGTGAAGTTTTGACACATCGACTCGAAAGTATCATGACCAATATTACAGGTCTCTAATTTGTCAGAGTAACAAACTTAACGGACAAATAAAAACAACCACACATTTCATCTTGCAAAGTAGTCCTGCAAAGGTTAAGATTTGAAATGATGAATTTGTTTCTATCATCAATGGGAAAAACAGCAATCCTTCACAAAAGTGTTTTTCTGTCTTGACAGAAAGCAGGATGTCCTCCCAAAAGAAGTGAACTGTACATGAAATAAGAGTATCATCAACAAACTGCTATTTCGACCTGTAACCGCAATTGATATCTGTAGAGATATATACAGTGAGTGAGTGAGTGAGGATGGTTTTTAACGCCGCTTTTAGCAATATTCCAGCAATATCACGACACCAGAAATGGGCTTCACACATTGTGTCCATGTGGGGAATCGAACCGGGTCTTTGGCATGACAAGCAAATGCATTAACCACTAGGCTAACCCACCAACCCCACCCCCACCCCAAAGAAATTTACAGGAACACGACAAAGCTGGAACTCACAGTTTCTCCAACAGCTGGGACATGGCTTCGGCTCGGAACAGATCCTTGGCATCGAGTTCCCGTATCTGCTTGGCCAACTCCCGTATGTGATAGGCAAGTTTCTTGTACCTGAAACACAGAAAGTCCCATTCTAAACATGGAGGAATAATACTGTTACCAAGGTAACAGAGAATTGGTCAGTTTCTGTCACAGTATGTATTTTGAACCACCAACATGTTATATTGTTGTTGTTTGACTCTGCACTCCACAATATTCCAGCTATATGACTGAAGTCTGTAAACAATCGAGTCTGGACCAGACAATCCTGTGACTGACATCATGAGAATTAATGTACTACACAGTGACATGCATCAACCTGACAACATGATGAACGTTTGCCACATCTCACGATAAGCATGGGTGGCTGAAGATCATTTACCAGGTAGGCTCAGTCTCTAATCCATATTCCTTTTCTTCTGCCAAGTCCTTTCTATGAAGCTAAAGTGAGTGAGTGAGTCTAGTTTTACACCACACTCAGCAATATTCCAGCTATATGGCGGCGGTCTGTAAACAATCGAGTCTGGACTAGACAATCCAGTGATCAACAGCATGAGCATCGATCTGCGCAATTGGGAACCGATGACATGGGTCAACCAAGTCAGCGAGCCTGACCACCTGATCCTGTTAGTCGCCTCTTACGACAAGCATAGTCGCCTTTTATGGCAAGCATGGGTTGCTGAAGACCTATTCTACCCCAGATCTTTAGGGGTCTGAAGCTAAAGTGAGTGAGTAAGCTGGGTTTTATGCCACTTTTAGCAATATTCCAGCAATATCACAGCAAGGGACAACAAAAATGGGCTTCACACATTGTACCCATGTGGGAAATCGAACCCAGGCCTTCAGTGTGACGAACAAACGCTTTAACCACTAGGCTACCCCACCGCCCCCTCAGGGTCTAAGGCTGGAAATAAGACTGGAATGAATTATGCAAAAAATAGAAAATGACTGTTGAAGTGCTGCTTTACTGTAATATTCATCCATATCAAACTGGCCTGAAAAATATCAAGACTGGACCAGACAAGCCAGTGACTGAAGCATGACCATGGATTTAAACCATCAGAGCAGAATAGCATACAGTCAATTGAAACAGAAACTGCCCACCCCATCCATGCTTTCTAACACACACTGGGTGCTGGGAACCTATAATATGCTGACAACACCACATTGTCTTCCATATGACTGTAGCTGATCTGTCAGTCATCTAGACTGATCATGGTTCCGTACCACAATGAAGTAGATGACCAAGGTTTTACATAACGCGTGATTCCTACGTATTTGACGCAACAATTTTGTTAACGACTCTCAAAATACTATCATACGAGTCAAGCTTGACGCAAGTTTTATAGGTGGCCCTCAGTCACAATTCAATTCAATAAACACGATTTGATAAGCAAGACATGATATTGTTCGATTATAGTTTGACTTTTACAGAGCTGTCAGATTGTTCCAGAGAACTCAGAGGAGACAGTAATCCTGGCTGTTTTTATTGAACAATGCTGTAGTTTCATTTGGTGGTGTAACATACAGTTACCTACTGAGAATGATTAACACAAAGAAATATTAAATTTTCGTGACTCCCAAATATTGAAAATGACTCCAAAAAATAAATATTCTGAGTCACCATGACTCCCATTTTTAAAAGTCTGTGTAAAACCCTGGATGACTGCATTACAGAGAAACAACACAACTAAACGAAGGCAGTATACTACTCACACTTTGCTAAGGATCACAAAAAATTCCCAACTTTACTTAAACATAGATTTGTAATTTGAAATTGTATCCATTTAAAACTAGATAAATAATAATATGGTGACCACTCTTTAGGCAAACAGTCACTTTAATCTAACCTTATGCACTTGATATATGAATAACCATAAAAATGGTTTTCATGGCACCAGTCAACCATTCTGCAACCCGTATCTTCAGCGTGACAAGCAAATATGTTAAGCACTAGGCCACTCCCCATGACTGAAAGACCATACTACAATACTTCATCACTTTAGTGGGGCCAGATTTTTGCTGATCATCAATCAACAATTTTTCAAGCTAAAAATATTCAGTCCAAAGGTCATGTGTAGTTAGGCACAGTCATTAAATACACACAATCACATACAGGCACAGGACACACCCCTGCACGGTGAGAAGCAGCTAATGAGATCATGGGGGTTATGAAGATGTAATGTCTGGCATAGGCACGGTGAGAAGCAGCTAATGAGATCATGGGACTTGAACTGTTATGACTTGAACTCCCAGCTATCTCCTATAATCTGACTATCTCTTGATACTCAGAATGGACTTGAACTCCCAGCCATCTCCTATAATCTGACTTGAATCCAGATAGCCATCTCTTTATAATCTGATTCTAACACCCAGCCATTTCCTATCGGGACTTGAACTCCCAGGGGCCATGGTGGTCATAATCTGACTTGAACACCCAGCCATCTCCTATAATCTGAACTCCCCTCTTATAATCTGAACCCCACTCTATAATCTGACTTTGAACTCCCAGTCATTCCTCACTAATCTGACTTGAACTCCCAGCCATCTCTTATAATCTGACTTGAACACCCAGCCATCTCCTATAATCTGACTTGAACTCCCAGCCATCTCTTATAATCTGACTTGAACACCCAGCCTTCTCCTATAATCTGACTTGAACTCCCAGCCATCTCCTATAATCTGACTTGAACTCCCAGCCATCTCCTATAATCTGACTTGAACACCCAGCCATCTCCTATAATCTGATAATCTGACTTGAACACCCAGCCATCTCCTATAATCTGACTTGAACACCCAGCTTCCCCTGACTTGAACCCCCCATCTCTAATCTGATCCGCCACTGTCTGGGGTCCTATAATGCAACACCCAGACACTGACTTGAACACCCAGCCATCTCCTATAATCTGACTTGAACACCCAGCTATCTCCTATAATCTGACTTGAACTCCCAGCTATCTCCTATAATCTGACTTGAACACCCAGCCATCTCCTATAATCTGACTTGAACTCCCAGCCATCTCCTATAATCTGACTTGAGCTATCTCCTATAATCTGACTTGAACTCCCATCTTTCTCCTATAATCTGACTTGAACTCCCATCTCCTATAATCTGACTTGAACACCCAGCTATCTCCTATAATCTGACTTGAACACCCAGCTATCTCCTATAATCTGACTTGAACTCCCAGCTATCTCCTATAATCTGACTTGAACTCCCAGCTATCTCCTATAATCTGACTTGAACTCCCAGCTATCTCCTATAATCTGACTTGAACTCCCATCTTTCTCCCCAGAACTCCCAGATTTCTCCTACTCTCCCCAGCTAAGCTTTCTCCTATAATCTGACTTGAACCCCCAGCTTTCTCCTATAATCAGACTTGCACTCCCAACTATTTCCTATAATCTGAGACTCGTGAAGATCCAGGGTTAGAATTGATCTTCAAAAACCCATGCTTGTCGTAAGAAGCAACTAACAGGATTGGGTGGTCAGGCTCGCTGACACATGTCATCGTATCCCAATTGCGTAGATCAATGCTCATGCTGTTGATCACTGGATTGTCTGGTCCTGACTTGATTATTTACAGACCGCCGCCATATAGCTGGAATATTGCTGAGTGCGGTGTAAAACTAATATCAATCAATCAGTCCCATCGCCTGACCCTTCAAACCATACAACAGGAACATTCAACCACTTGAACAGCTTTATTCATACCCAATGACAGGAACATTCATATCTCACAAAGAATAATCAAATCCTTAAATTATTCAAACCCTGCAACATGACTATTCCACCTCAACATTGACCATATTTAAATCTATTAAGGATATTCAACCCCAACTACAAGAAAACCTAAACAGGGTCACATCGAACGATAGCAACAATCGAGCGCATCATTTTCAAAGAAGAAGATAACCAACCCATGATGATCTGAAACTGGTCCCTACACACTTGTATTCCATGGTGGGGGACACCAGAAATGGGCTAATCCCATGTGGGAATCCAGGCTGACTGAGTTTGGTTTTCGCGCTTTTAGCAATATTCCAGCAACATCACGCGTGGACGACTGACTGACTGAGTTTGGTTTGACTGACACCGCTTTTAGCAATATTCCAGTAACATCACAGCGGGGGACACCAGAAATGGGCTTCACACATTGTACCCATGTGGGATTGAACCCAGCGTGACGACTGACTGACTGAGTTTGGTTTTACGCCGCTGATGAGCCAGCAACATCACAGCCGGGGACACCAGAAATGGGCTTCACACATTGTACCCATGTGGGGATTCGAACCCGGGTCGTCGGCGTGACGAGCCAACGCTTTAACCAGTAGGCTGCCCCAGCGCCCCTTCGGCGAGACAAGCAAACCACCACCCCAACTGGTCTTCAGCAACCCAGGTGTCTAACATGATTGGCTGGTAAAGATGTTGACTTAAGTGATGCATGTCAGTTTATCCCAACTGCACTGATCTATGCTCATAATGTCAATCACTGGATTGTGTCATCCTGAATTGATTATTCTCAGGCAACCGTAAAATAGTTGGAATTTTGTTGGTCACAAATCTTGTTGATCACAAAAAATATACAAATTGTATAAAAAAGATACTGCTACAATCTGCAAGAAAGGGACAACCAACACAATACAGATACAAAACACTATCACCTTCACCCAGCACCTTCACACAGCACACTCATCACCAGGGAGCAGTAGGGATGTGGACATGGTTTCTGGTGAGGCTCAAACGATAATGGCTGCCTGCAACAGAATCATGACCGCCTCCACCACCACAGGTACAGCAGCAGCTGTGTCATAACCAACACCATCGCAACACAACATCTGTGAGTCACTCACAGGTTCGTGAGAACAAGAATGCTCCCATGAATCAGGACGCTTGCTACCTGTACAGGTCGTTTGAGTGAGTGAGTGAGTGAGTGAGTGAGTGAGTGAGTGTGTGTGTGAGTGAGGGAGGGAAGGAGCAAGTGAATCTTTGAGCTAGGATTCTTGCCAACTTTTCATGGTATTTATTTAAAACCTCAATTTCTATTAAGCCCAGGTCAAAACAATAAAATTCACTGAAAAAAATATAATTAATAGGAAGACATTCATTATCTACCTATTTTTAAACCCTGCAACTTAGTTGGAAAACTACTGAAAATACTTGGCATATACACATATTTGTGCTTCATGGATTGGTGAATAAAAAAAGATTTACTGTCAGATTGGGAATCAGAATGCACCTTACTTTTTGGCCTTACACCAACCAAGGAAAAAAACTTATCAAATCTTCGCACACAAGGCAATGGGTACAACACACTTGGTGGACGGCGCCACCGTTTGACATGAATCAGGCAGTAAACTATCACTGAGTGCAGACATTATGTCATTAATCCTCGTATTGGCAACATCTACCTTCTGTTTCATAAATAAAGGTAATATCCCGACCTGTTGTCAGTTGTCAGATGTCGACAGCTCCACCATGCATCGGTGGTGCTAAGCAATGATAGGCCTAATTTCCTCGGGTTACTGTAGAGACAGGAACTCAATGGCAGTAAATCTGTGCTCATTCAAGAAGTGTACTCCCAGACAGTCTTTGGTTCCAGCCACCTAGACTTGCACAAGTCTCTTGAGGTAATAATCAATAGTTTATATGATAATTTAAAAAAATATAAATATCCCTCTAACAGACTGGCATCCTTGACCTTATCTTGATTTGCCTCTTTAAAGACAGAATTACTTTACACCCATGGGCTTAGCTTTCAGTACAGCCAAGTCTACCAGCCACCATATAGTGTTCAGATATGAGGTAGACATTGTAACCAGACCAGACTAAAACACACAGGGTTCTCATACAACACCAAGAATCCAACAAATCAAATATAAACTGATTTGTTATAACTGACAGCTGACAAAGGGGTTATATTATGAACACTATGTTTGTATTTTGTTTAGTGCTTAATGCCAAACTCAGCAATATTCTTGCTATGTCACGACAGTCTGCAAATAATCAATAATAAATATGTTTTTCAACTTTTGAACATGTTTCAACTTTGGTTACTACCACTTGATCTGACATCAATTTCTGTTTGTTGTGAATGGTGTTAATACACAGATCGCTCAAGATGTCAATCACTGGATTGTCAGGTCCAGGCTGGATTATTTATAGACTGCACAGTGATGGACATTGTATGTATTATATTGTAATGATCACTGGATTGTCAGGTCCAGACATGATATTTACAGACTGCCACCATAGAGCTGGAATAATGGTTAGTGCAGTGTTGAGCAACAACTCAACAACAACAAAAACAAAACACAATTTACCAAAACAGTAACCGCCTCCGTGGTGTAGTGGTTAGAGCGTCTGCCCGGAGAGCGGGAGGTCGCGGGTTCGATCCCCGACCGCGTCATACCAAAAAGACGTTAAAATATGGTACTTGTTGGTCTCGCCTGGCACTCGGCATTAATGGTTACAACAAGGACTGGTCGGCTCGGAGTCAGTATAATGTGTCTGAGTGGGGTATTCATGCTCCACTGCGGCATGGTATCTCAGTGGGCTAGCACTATAAAACCAGCTTCAGTCTGGGCTAGTACAAGCAGCCGCACATACACATACACACGCATGCACGTCGTCATTTGAGCGAAATATTCTCAAGTACGACGTTAAACCCAATTTCACCTCACCTCACCAAAATAGTAAACATCTAAAGCCTGTCTCGCCACAGGTTCTCCTCCCAGTCAGGCTGTAATACCATGATGGAACTTAAACACTGCTCAAAGTGCGGCATAAACAACAACCAACCAACCATTCCTGAAACATGGGAAATATATGCTTGATTGGCATTTTAGAAGATGCTTTTTGATGAACATAAAGAATTTTCTGGATTTCATTTTCTTTTATTCATTGGTACAACATTCCGGGGCATGTTAATTCATATGGCAATGAATCTCACTTACAATCAAATAGATTTCACCAAGCGCAAGCTCACCGAAGCCATCCACATCAAAAGCCATAAGCCCACCATCAACCGTGACCATCCATCCGCTTATGATGCACTCCTCCACCAAGCCCAATCTACTGTATAAACTCTACTGTATAAACATCTCATTACTTGTACATCATTGGCTTCCATGTCTTTCCTTTGTCTAACTCACTGGCTTCATCAGCTTACTGCCTAGCCAATCATGTTAATTATGGTGTTGCTTTGTTACATTGTTTCATTCAGTATATATATACCCCCCTTTTCATGTTCCGATGCCTACGTTAAACCCACAATCATCACCATGTACCATTTATGCTTGACAACGGTACAAGAATCTGTATCGAAACGTCACACTCACGAATAAAAGAAGTTGTTATCCATAAAGTTTGTTCTATATCGTACTTTCCAACTTCTAAAATGCCACTCAAAGAAGTCAATTAACAAGCCTACAGCACAGAGAGAAATTTTTATTTGTTAAAGACTGGTGTTCACATTCCTATGATCAAAGCTGAAATACCAGGAAGTGAAACTGTAAGTTATCGTAACATGATGGATCATGGATTATTCCCGAAGGCTATTAAAGAAAAATAGGGGAAAGATTTCAGTTGGAAAAAAAGAATTGGTTAATAATAATGATAATAATAATTGTGAATTTATACTGGCCTTTTCCATGTTCAAGGCACATGCTCAAAGCGCTAACACACAATCTAATTATTATTACCCTGGATAACTTGTCCCACCAGGTACCCATTTTCTGCTGGATGAACAGTGGCAAGTTGAACAAATCCACTTGCTGAATGTGAGACCCCACATTCCTAGAAACTCTCAGGAGTCAAACTGCCAAACACTGTCACCCATTCAAGGACTCTCCATGCCCAACCTTGCTTAACGTCAACTGATTTGTGACCTGAGCTCTATGCACAGGACCACACACCACCATCTGGTTCCTTTACTACTGAATTCAAAATGTGTGTGCATAAAATATGATACAAACCAACTACGTCACTGTATTTCAAGTTTTAGGGACAACAGAGAACTCAACTATTGGCATCACCAACAGGTCTTCCAATCATTTTTTGAACAGTTGAGGATTTCACCTGTTTAGTAACGGTAGGTTTCTTTGGGTATTCAGTATATTTAGTCAAGCAGGTCTTTACTTAGGCGGTTTCCACTGTATTTACTAATCCCTTTTGTCCAGTCTATTTTGGCATCTTTCAACAATTGAGTAGATCTTTTTCAATATAATTCTGACTAAAAGGTGGTTTCAGCTAGTGACTTCTAATTTTCACAGATAAACTGCCTCATAACACCATCTAACTGTAAATAACTAGTTCGCTAAACTGTTGTACACTCTACATTAACACTGAAACAGAACAGAACCTGGCCAAACAGAGCTGATAGACAAGTGTCTGATTGTACCTTGTCCTGTTACTTGCCCACATGCCTTTGCCATTGGGACACTGTCAGTTTTTCATCATAGAGAAACATTTTCTGAACAGAAAACGTTCCACCTTTAAGTTCTGACCAGGTCAGCGTTGGCAAAATTGTCTACGAATTTTTTAGATAATATTGGCAACTAGTTAGAAAATAGGAATGGTACTGGCAAACCATTAAACAAAATCAGGAAGAAACGAGAACGCTGAATCCACTGTGCCACCCGACCAACATCCGCCGAAAATTAATCAATCAAACAAAATAACAAATGAATTAGAGCTTTAAAGTTAGTAACAGCAGCTCACATTAAATGTATGGGCACAAGTCTGTGTGTAGTACAGTAATGGCATACTACACGGCTATCCTGTAGTTTGCGTGTCATAGTAACGAAAAACATGACGTTTCTGGCTCTGTTGTTGTGATCGAAAACAGAACAAAATCCATGTCATTAGGAATATTTGGCTGATAACTTACTTTGTGTAATCTTCACGCTTCTGAATATGATATTTCCTCAATGCCTTGACTTCAGAAACATTATTGTCGATTTCCCAGGAAATGAAATCGACCTTTTTCAGTAATTTCTTTTCATGGTACTTCAGTTTACGAACCATCTTTGCACGTGTTCCTCAAACACAGGAAGTCAATAATGTAAGGGACATAACTCCTCTCATAACACAGTTCAAGCCGCTACAGAATATATTTATATTTCTTCTGTGGCAGAGACGATATATCGATATCGGTGTATGGTCTCTGTCTATGGTAATTAAAACAAAACTGTTGCGTATTGTCTTTTACTAAATGAATTAAATGAAGATGGGAGAATCATAAATATTAAGGAATTTATTTTGTTTTAAAATAACATGAATAAAATCATATAACCCCCTGTTAATATTGTAATGTTCTCTCTCACTCACTCACTCACTCACACACACGCATGCACGCACCCACATTGACACAAATGCGCGCGCGCGTACACACGCGCATATATTTACTAACACACACATATTGTTCATTTGTTCCACAGATTTATTTTTTTAAACATCCCACGTGTCAAGGCAAAATGACAAAGGCATACTCCACGCGTAAAAAACTAGAGATGCACGTGGTTTATGTCGGGACACACTATGGAACGGAATAATGACATTGTTATCTCACACAATAAAACATAGAAGCATGAACTGGCTAATGCACAAAGAGATTGTTCATTTTGCTTGTCGATTTACATTTGTCAATAACAAACCTGCCAATCATTCCATCCGAGGCGCGTGGCGCAACCAGGATCTCGACTGGAATCAATATCTCTACATAAACGACACCAAAAATAATTTTATGACCTGGGATTATTGTTACTTGAAAATAGGGATAATTAAGTGTGATATTCTATGAGAAGAATGGACAAATTAGAACACTGTATAGAGATTTACGACTTCCAAGAAACCGTTTTGGTACCATTTGCGTTTGACGACCCAATCTGCTTGAAAAGGAACTAAGAGCTATTACGTGTGTGGTTCGATGTTGAACGACTCGTCTATTATTTAGTTCTATTCAATGTCTACATTTATCTAACACATTTACCGCTCTGTTCAGCGTGTGAATTGTGAACCGGTATATGAACATGCCCTTTTGTAAATTTCATGTAATGAAATTATTGTGTGATAAAATCATGACGATGCTTTTATATACGAATATAAAGCGGTTATTTTTTCTTGCACAGTTAAGTGTTTTTAACAACATGTAACGCACGCGGCTACCAGCAGCTGTATGTTGACAAAGCCGAGAGGTGAGGTGAGGTGAAATTGGGTTTTACGTCGTGCTTGAGAATATTTCGCTCATATGACGATGTGCATGCGTGTGTATGTGTAATTGCGGCTGCTTGTACTAGCCCAGACTGAAGCTGGTTTTATAGTGCTAGCCCACTGAGATACCATGCCGCACTGAAGCATGAATACCCCACTCAGACACATTATACTGACTCCGAGCCGACCAGTCCTTGTTGTAACCATTAATGCCAGGAAGGGACCAACAAGTACCATATTTTAACGTCTTTTGGTATGACGCGGTCGGGGATCGAACCCGGGACCTTCCGCTCTCCGGGCGGACGCTCTAACCACAACAACACGGATGCGGTTACACAAAGCCGAGAGAGTTAAATTAGGACAATGGCCCGGCACTCGTTCCCCATCCCCGCTTGTCCGGGACCTGTGAAGATCCGTGTTAGAATTGATCTTCAGTAACCCAATACTTGTCGAAAGAGGGGACTAACGGGATCGGGTGGTCAGGCTCGCTGACTTGGTTGACACTGACATCGGTTCCCAATTGCGTAAATCGATGTTCGATCACCGGTTTGTCTAGTCCAGACTCGATTATATACAGAATGACGCCATACAGCTGGAATGTTGCTGAGTGCTGCGTTAAACAACAAACCGACCACAACCAATCGTTTGTCGGGGGTGGCACATCTCGATTTCGTCATAATATGTACCCAGGATCCAATCGGTTCATTGGAGTGAGTGAAAGAGTAAGGTTTACGCTGCTTTTAGCAATATTCCTGCAATATCAAGGCGGAGACTCCAGAAATAGACTTCACACATTGTACCCAAGTGGGGAATCAAACCCGGGTCCGGCGTAACGAGCTAACGCTTTAACTGCTAGGCTACCCCACCGCCCCTACGCCACTCAGAGAATTTATTGACAGCGGTAGAACCCGTTATTTTCAACGTACCCCGCATTACAAGGAGTAACATTTCAATGTACCCCGCAGTCAATGGCAACTCATTTGCTACTTCGTGGTAGTAATTCTTTATCTCGAATAACATTGAATCACGTATGATGTACGGAAATTACCGATGTTTTGCGAATGCAAATCGATGGAAGGGAGATAACTTTAAATCTGTTTTTCTTGTCGTCTGCAAAATCTAGCGATGGCTACAAAAAGATTTGTACCCGTGCTTCAAACAGTTCAAAATTAACATTAAGGTGTTCGGTAAGATAAATTCGTTGTTCACTGGTCACGAGGGGCCTATGGGTTGATGTACCCTCGATGTTTGTTTATAAACATAAACAAACATCGAGGGTGCATCAACCCATGTCCCCCTCGTGACCAGTGAACAACTTATAATGTCCTTAATGCTGAACTCAAGACAGTTCTTTGGCATGACGTGGTTGTGGATGGAACCACCATTTGGATGTACAGAGCTGCGCCCTTTGGGCATGCCAGATATAAACCTATGATGCTTTTGGAATAGAAGCGACAAAACCCTTTCCACATCCATAAGACATCTCTGCCAAACCCAGAGTCGATTGTACAATTGTGACTATATCATGAGTTTATACTTGTTTCAGCAGTATTACAGCCGTGCGATGTTGTTTGTAAACAAATCGAGTCTGAACCAGACAATTCAGTGATTGTCACCATGCGATACGATGACAGAGCATGTGTTCATGAAACTATGTGAAATAGTGATGATACCGGGTGTTCGCGGAAAGGTGAGAGTATCCTGCCCCACCGGTGGCAGCCGTCCTAACGTATAGTAATTTGTCCAACTGAAATAATCCGGCGACGTGTGGTATAAAGTCAAAATAGGGAATGGCATTGGACATCATTTCTGTCACTGATGCATCAAATTTGGAAATTTCATCCACATGTCTACCATAAAACGTCTTGAAAGCTTTACTGAGGCCTTGAATGTTACGTGATAAAAATGGTCCGTACCAGCGCTTTATTTGCAAGATTTCTATATTCTTAAAAGTTAAAAATATGTAAATATTGTTGAGTGAGCGAAAAACTTCGAAGATGAAATCTAGAAACGAGGAAGTCCTTGACCCAAGATCACATTTTACATCTTTATCACAGAAAATGAGGTTGGTTCAAAGAGTCGTTCAGAACCTCCTCTAAAAACCATTTTGACATTTTAACCTTAGTTTTTCAATTATGATCCGATTAGTATTTGTCTTCAGCAAACCATGTTTGTCGTAAGAGGCGATCAACAGGATCGGGTGGTCAGAATCGCTGATTCTCAATATCTCACTAGGCATTGTTTGTTTGTTTGTTCCAAGCTGACTGAGTGATACACATTTCTCTGTTTGAGAAGAGGTCCACAACTACGTGACTTCATGTCAACGCATTATAGCTAATGAATAAGATGACGTCATCATTTGTTCATGACGCAACAGAAGGTGGTTTACGACGCCGTTCCAACAGTACATTGGAAGTAAATGGGAAGGGCAGCATTTGTATTGTGTGTGTGTGTGTGTGTGTGTGTGTGTGTGTGTGTGTGTGTGTGTGTGTGTGTGTGTGTGTGTGTGTGTGTGTGTTTTCTCATCGCCCGACCGACCCATCCAATTTTATTTTTTTCATTTCAACACCGAACCTAAAACCTCTCGTCATTTAAAATGTATATCTTCTAATAAGTCTCTGCCACAAGTCCACAGAACGCGAGAAATTGTAATAAGAATTACAATAAATGAGAATCAAGAACATTATTCAGATAATTTTGTTGGTTTTTTGTTTGTTTGTTTGGCTTTTTTGTTCTCCAGACCGACCGACCCATGTTCAGAATTTGGTGGCTACGTGAAACACATAAAAAATGATTCCCTAAGAGACGCATTTGTGCTTTATTAACTGAGCGAAAAAGGATTTGAGGGAGTCTCACTCCTCTTGCAGCGCCTGCCCATATTCAGAAAACAACGCACCCGTCTCCCTATCTCTCAGGCGTGTTCAATACAGGAAAGCTTTGGGCCTTTGCTGACCGCAATTCCGTGCTGCTGAAGGTGAGAGTTGACCCTTCGTGCATGGTGGGTGTTATCGTGGATCGTACTCTTCCTTGCACAACATGGAGTGGGATTCGGTCTGTTGTAGTGGTGTCGCCCTGTTGAAACCGATACTCCGCCAAATCTGTTAGGAGGTTGATTTTGGTTTGACGTTTGACGACTACACATATCATGGAAGTGAAATCGGGACTCGTTTGAAAACATGACACGTGACCACCTGTTTCGACGTCGAGTACACCACTGAAGTCGAGCATTGAGACGAGCTACATGAAGATGTTAGTCTGACCCATAACTTGTCCCCAAGGAGCCTGATAAAAGTTTGCAGCAATATGAAATCGATTTGATATAGCCGGATTTCGGGTCTATCTATCCTGTCCTCTTGCGTTGAGTTGATCACTGGGTTGTCTAGTCCAGACTCGAATATTTACAGACTGCCGATATACATGTATAGCTGGAATATTGCTGAGTGCGGCGTTAAACTAAACTCACTCACCCACTCTTGCGTTGACCCTGGACGCCTAAACAGTCAATGTTTAGGTTTCGTTGGTACCTGTTCCGAAATCTGTTGATCAGACTCTGAAACGTTAAACGTATTGGCCACCGCACGCTTTCTGCAAGTATCGAGCAGGCCAGTAGCCCTTATATGCTCCGTAGGTTGGTGAGTGTGTGACTGAGTGAGTATGGTTTTACGCCGCCTTTAGCAATATTCCATTAGTATCACGGCGGCGGACACCAGAAATGGACTTCACACATAGTACTCGTGTGGAGATTCGAACCCGGGTCTTCGGCGTGACGAGCAAACGCTTTAACCACTAGGCTACACCACCTCCACGCTGCATCGTTGGGTCATACAGAGACAATGAATGAGTTCAAGTAAAACACAAACGTATGATATGCAGAATCGATAACATTGCCAGAAATAATGGTTCACAGAGAATCATCGACCTAGCTTGAAAGTCTTCATGTCAGGAATGACACCCGAAGAACGTGAGCGGCAATGCTGCTTACGGCACGTGCACACCCACGGATGTGTTTTGGTGTTTGGTTTAACAGACATTAAGGTTCTGGTACCATACGCCTGTCGTCTGCACTTATCTTTGTTCTAATGCTAGGCATTAACATTTAAATTTCATGATCCCCCATAAAGATTATTATTCGAGCACGTGTTTCAAAGATTTTACGAGAGTCAGAATTCCTGTATTTCCCGAGCGAGAGCAACGATATTGTGTATGAATTCTTACACGAGTTTCGCAAAATCAGAATAACATACACGCGAGTGTACCAGTTTATTTGTAGCCCGAAATTTAATCATAATCGTTCTGAGCTCCTCTCTGAGAAAATATCTCTAATCACGACAAACCACAATTGTCAAATGACGTCAACAGTATTGGTGATCGTTCTAGTGTGACGTCATTCCAACCACACATCACTGGTACCCGGATCCCTTAGCGCCCGTCAACTTGCGCCAAAGCTATATATGGCGATATGAGAGACGGGGCCCAGTTTACGTCAAGACAAGTTCACGTCAACACGGTGAGGTGAGGTGTAAAATATTCACTGGTGCGAATGAAATTATATATGTTACACGGGCGATAAACGCAGTTATTCCAACAAAGGTCTTACACAAAAATAAATGTTAAACCGTATGATTACATAAGAAGTATCGATTTTTCATAAGATAACCTTGACATTAACGCTTTAGTATACCGGGTATCGATTACCGGATATAAGATCGTAAGTTGCAAACTGATTTGTGGCCTTCGAACTTTGACAGTGTTAAGCCTATTTTTATTAGTTTGAAGGAAGTTTTTACGTTTTATTTGTGAGCGACGTCACTCAAATGTTCTCCAGGGTTTTTTAATTAGACTGAATGCGGTTGTTCCGATAAACCTGTTGTCGATTTGAACATTAAGTTGCAACATAAACTGGATGGGAAAGCCAGCCCACAGTGTCGTGCGAGGATGTTTAAATACCTGATACAACTCATCCACACGACCTTGGGAGTGACACGCCAAGCTTCAGAGTGAGCATGAATCTTGGATTAGAACCTGCGATCAGCGTATCCTGGTTCCTAGAGAACCTGGTTTGTCTATTGTTAGACTAACGCTTAGTCTCTGAATATATATAATTTTGCTTGTAACAAATAAACCCATTTAAATTGAAAAGGAGCCCCAGGGAGACCAGAAAGTCAGATCCCCTGAACATGGAGAAATCTAGACTTGCTTCGTTTTGGGCTTTAGCACTGGAAGGAAGGGCTAGACAGTAGGGGAAATAATATGGTTCAGGGACTGTGAGATACACTAATATATTGTTAAACGCCAAACCCAGAAACAACCCATCTCTAGGAAACCCCATGGGGGAAAATCTCTGCTGAGAATTGTTCTGTTACTGAATCTATATTGGGACCAATGATTCTGTGCTGGGACATATATTCTGGTCTTCAATCTACATGGGGACTAGGGACCAGGTGTGCTGGGGCCTAGTCTTCTCCCGAATCTTCCATGGGAACCAGTCATTGTGTGCTAAAACCTACTCTTTTCCCGAATGTTCCATGGGAACCAGTCATTATGTGCTAAAACCTACTCTTTTCCCGAATCTTCCATGGGAACCAGTCATTGTGTGCTAAAACCTACTCTTTTCCCGACTCTTCCATGGAACCAGTCATTGTGTGCTAAAACCTACTCTTTTCCCGAATCTTCCATGGGAACCAGTCATTGTGTGCTGAAACCTACTCTTTTCCCGAATCTTCCATGGGAACCAGTCATTGTGTGCTAAAACCTACTCTTCTCCCGAATCTTCCATGGGAACCAGTCATTGTGTGCTAAAACCTACTCTTCTCCCGAATCTCACATGTGAACCAGTCATTGTGTGCTAAAACCAACTCTTTTCCCAAATCTTCCATGGGAACCAGTCATTGTGTGCTAAAACCTACTCTTCTCCCGACTCTTCAATGGGAACCAGTCATTGTGTGCTAAAACCTACTCTTTTCCCAAATCTTCCATGGGAACCAGTCATTGTGTGCTGAAACCTACTCTTTTCCCGAATCTTCCATGGGAACCAGTCATTGTGTGCTGAAACCTACTCTTTTCCCGAATCTTCCATGGGAACCAGTCATTGTGTGCTAAAACCTAATCTCTTCCCGAATCTTCCATGGGAACCAGTCATTGTGTGCTAAAACCTACTTTTTCCCGAATCTTCCATGGGAACAAGTCATTGTGTGCTAAAACCTACTCTTTTCCCGACTCTTCCATGGGAACCAGTCATTGTGTGCTAAAACCTACTCTTTTCCCGACTCTTCCATGGGAACCAGTCATTGTGTGCTAAAACCTACTCTTTTCCCAAATCTTCCATGGGAACCAGTCATTGTGAGCTGAAACCTACTCTTCTCCCGAATCTTCCATGGGAACCAGTCATTGTGTGCTAAAACCTACTCTTTTCCCAAATCTTCCATGGGAACCAGTCATTGTGTGCTGAAACCTACTCTTTTCCCGACTCTTCCATGGGAACCAGTCATTGTGTGCTAAAACCTACTCTTTTCCCAAATCTTCCATGGGAACCAGTCATTGTGTGCTGAAACCTACTCTTTTCCCGAATCTTCCATGGGAACCAGTCATTGTGTGCTAAAACCTAATCTCTTCCCGAATCTTCCATGGGAACCAGTCATTGTGTGCTAAAACCTACTTTTTTCCCGAATCTGCCATGGGAACCAGTTATTGTGTGCTAAAACCTACTCTTTTCCCGACTCTTCCATGGGAACCAGTCATTGTGTGCTAAAACCTACTCTTTTCCCGACTCTTCCATGGGAACCAGTCATTGTGTGCTAAAACCTACTCTTTTCCCAAATCTTCCATGGGAACCAGTCATTGTGAGCTGAAACCTACTCTTCTCCCGAATCTTCCATGGGAACCAGTCATTGTGTGCTAAAACCTACTCTTTTCCCAAATCTTCCATGGGAACCAGTCATTGTGTACTAAAACCTACTCTTTTCCCGACTCTTCCAAGGGAACCAGTCATTGTGTGCTAAAACCTACTCTTTTCCCAAATCTTCCATTGGAACCAGTCATTGTGTGCTAAAACCTACTCTTCTCCCGAATCTCCATATAAACCAATCACTGTCTGCTGAAAACCTTCTCTGTGCCCGAATCTTCTCGAGGTACAACCGTTGTCCGTTGGGAACTCGTCTGCCCCGGAATCTTCATGAGTACCAGTTACTATGTGCTAGGCCTACTTTGTACCCCGAATCTCCACGGAGAGTGAGTGAGTATAGTTTTACGCCGCTTTTAGCAATATTCCAGCAATATCACGGCAGGCGGGCTCCAGAAATGGGCTTCACACATTGTAACTGTGGGGAATCGAATCCGGGTCTAACAAACGAATGCTTTAACCACTAGGCTACCCCACCGCCCCATCTCCACGGACAGCAGTCACTTTGTACTTCAATCTATTCTGACCATATGATTACCCACAAGACGTTTGGGATATTAAACAAATCACCATAATCCCTTTTAACAAAGGCATATCCAATGACCAGAGTGGCAGTTATACCGCTATCACTGTTTTGATATTGAGACTCGACCAGAGAAACCAACGGTTTCAAGTCTTGAACATCGCCATCATGTGATGTACATATACAGACAGCCTGCTCAGACATTGTGACCATTCGATCACCATTTATAGAATTATTGGCAGCCTGCCAGCCTTTCACGTGTCTTTTCTAATAACACTGAAACCTCTTTAATTTGAATTTCATTTATTTGATGTGCATCACTGGAGACACTGAATCTGCATGGTCCTCAGTGTATCTGCATAGCTTGATCTTTGTCGTTGTTCCGACGAATTGGAATAATACGCGATACATACACGCATGTTT